TAAAATAGAAATGTATTTATCACAAAGATCATATCCAAACTTATATATGGAATAACTAAATATTTAAATATTCTTTAATACATATATGTGAAACTGTTTAACAGTTTAATCTTTTATAACAGTTATGTGTTTTCATTGATGCTCGTTCGCTGTTCTCGCGATGCATTTACTGTGTTTTATGCGTGTATATCAGAGTGTTAATCAATGCCACTAAATATTTCAATACTGATAGTTACAGGTACTAGCACAAGTGCGTCTTACGACTACGAGCTACGATTGGTGGCAAAAAATGAATCAGCGGATGTCAGTGATATACATTTCTTGAAAGGCAGTGCTGTTATTCGATTTCAAAAGAACACTTGGTAAATCCAATATTTTGTAATACGTGATGAAGCTCTTTTGATTGTTTCTTCGATACAAAAGGTGTCTCAAAACATGAAATTATTTCACAAATTTTCATAAACGATTTCCTCAAAAAATTTCCTTCTTTTTTTCTCTTTCACATTTTTACTTATATCGAATCGAACGTGTCGATTATGACACTTATATCGAGATACATTGTATATACATATTTAGAGAATTTTAACCCGATTTTATTAACCTTCTATAATATCGTATCGTGTTAAATGTTTAGTATCTACGTATTTACTTTTGTTTTTACTTTCGTTGCGTCATACCGTTATATTTTATTAATAATTGTCATTTCAACATGAAACAACATTTATTCACAATTGATCCCTAAATTTTGTAATTAAAATCGAAAAATTGTAACAAATAACACTTTCTCTTTTGATAAACGAAACGTAGAGGGTTAAGGACGCGTTGAAGCGTGTGGCACCGTATAGAGAGAGAGGAAATGCGGCTGATTCGGCGGTGACCTATATCGTTCTCTTAAATTCGTAGCCGCGTAATTGTTTCCAGACCGGGTATGCTAGATTTGTCATTTCCAGTTCATTGCACTATGATCCGAATATACATATAAAAATTTAATTTCGACCTGGTTAACCTGGTAATATTTTCTATTCATTTTATTCGCCCTTTAATTCCGCGTGGACGTTTTAATTTATGTTTTCTATCAGAGACGGATAATTGAGTGGTATTTTTGATAAAATAATTATGTAAATTTCGCATCTCTTTGTGGAAATGCTCGAAACGAGTTCAATTTATATTGTCCACAACAATATAGTTGTGAATGAATAAATGTCAAACGCAAATTGTGTGGACCAAGATAGAAATATTTGAAATCATTCGTGCGAATATTCAAACGAAAGGAAGATGTATCAAACATTTTTTTCTGGAAATTTATAATTTGATAACTTTATATCAAATATGTAGAATCAATTTTTTTTACAACATCTGAAACTTAATTTATTTCAAAATTTCAATTATTTGAACGAGGAAAAACGAATTTCTTTTCCCATATATCTTATTCTCATCTTCCAAATCTTGAGATTTTTCCAATTTTCTTGCAAAATTGTACTGCTAAAGATAAAACGAGAAGAAATATATAATATGCGCTTACCAAGATCTAAAACGAAAAATCTAAATATTCAATTCAATTCGTACGTAGTGTTTAAAAATAAGTAATTGCTTCTATTCATCGCTGTTGGCGAATATCTCTAAGATATCATAACGGAAAGAATCGAGGATATCATAAAAATAGCGTGGAAATAAACGAAAAGAAAAAAAAAGAAGGTTCGGGAAGAAAAGGGATAAAAGGCGATTGACGTGCGAGATATCGACGTTGGTTTGAATAAGAATTGCAAGGGTAAACGGGGTCGAGGAAGCCCGGCTGTACCAGAAATGAACTCGCCATTCACCGCCGTGCAAGCGAAGCTGCGGGCCAACGCTTCTTCTCTCTATCTCGCGATGAATGAACTGGATATGACGTCAGTCGCCCGTATCTGACGCAACGTGCCCGTTATCGATTTCCCCTTTTGCATCGGCGCCGAAATAACCTGCGAGCCAATAGAACCCGTGTGAGAACCGTCTCCACCGTCCATTTTTCTTTCCTCTCTTCCTCCTCCTCCATCCATCCCCGCCTTCGATCCTTTACACGATTTTTCCTCTTTTTTCAGGAAATTTTTTTTTTCTTTTCCACCGATCGAATTCAATTTTCCGAAATGAAAACGAGCCGAAAATGATTTCGCGTCGGTTGTTATTATCGCAGCTTTATTATTTTCATTGTATCTTCGTCGAGAGTGAAAGTTTCGAATCTATTTGCCATTTTTCCCGCAAAGATCGATTGAAAATGAATAAATATAAAGAGGGTAATTGATTCGTTGTCGGAGATGTAAAGAGATGGCGCGCGCGATCGAAAAGAATAAGTGTTTTTGCTCCGTGAGCGTGTGGAAAATATTATTACGAATCTACCATGCATGGCCTCCACCACGGGTATGAATTTGCGAATAATTGAACCGTGTTGATCGAACCGTACGTTCATTCTATACCTGTCTGACGATTTTTGGCGGTTCGCGCGCACGCTACAGTTCCCCGATACATTTTCATCAGGATGAAAAGTCCCGCAGACACTTGGCTATTCTCCCCCCCCCCCTCCTCCCTCCCACTCGTTTGCTCCTTCCTGATGTTTCGCGCGATTGAAACACGGTGGCGCGTATTCCATTTCGAGAGACTCTTGAAAAGTTAGGTTAGGTTTTCGTTTCGATAATCGTGAAATTAAAATTGGTCGAAAAGGAGGGATAACACAATTTTCGCGCGCGTATAAAGCGTTTTCGATGTAATATTCGAAAGAGACTTGAATTTTTAAACTGGATCTAAAGCACGTATACATTAGGAATTAGAAGCATCGAACTACTTAATCCTTCAAGAGTTACCGCGCCGAAGATACCACCACTATTCTCTCACAATTTGTTCACGAACGATTAAAACCGTGTGCAGACTTGCAAACAATCTTCACGCACTATATGCGGGTGTACCAAGATATCAGGTATATATGTATATATATATATATATTTTATCAACATCTCGTAAAATTTTTCATAGATTCTTTCGTCCAAAAATTTTTCATATACGCACATTCAATTGTCAATTTTCTTTACGCAATTCCACGTATAAGTTTTAATCTGATAAAAGTATTATCTTTTATTCTAAATGTTACAAATACAAACTTTCAATGAAATCGTTACCGTCGAGAATGTTACAATTACTTACAAGAGTATCAACTATTTTCAAAATGTTAATTATCACACGTTACATTTCCATTTCTGATCGGCTATTATAATTCTCAAATGAAAAACCGGTAACGGTTATTAACGAGTTTGCGAATAACGTCGAAAGAATTCCTCGGCGTATCTGACGGAGTCCGAGTCGTGGGAAGGTTCTGCATGGCGAAGCACGCGAAAATAATTCACTACGCGGCCGTAATATCCGCCCAGAGACAATACTGTTTCAAGATTTTTTACGTGCGGAACGAACAGAGCCGCCACCACCCGTCGAAAATTCGAACCTCGAACCCACGTTAATTTTTATCCTAGAAATTCACTTTTATTCCGTTTATCGTTTCGTTCGCGAATCGATTGACGATAGAATCGTTAGATTTATCGTGGGAAAAATTTGTGAAAATTTTGCGACGACGAGTCGAAGAAAGGAGGATTCGTACTCGCTGAAGCCGAGATGGAAAAAATACGAATTAAAATCGTTGGGCAAGCGGTGTCGTTTACGAAGCTTCTATTTTGAAGAGAAAGACTTTGAAAATCAACGAGGCGTGCCACGATTGTTTGACTGATTTGGCTCGGTCTAATAAATCTCGTCGCACGCTTTCGAGATTATGCACGATAGAGAGACCATTGGATCCAGCTGGATCGAAGCTGGATAAACACCACGTTAAATTCTTGTTATTTAATTTTTCTCTTTTCTTTTTTTTTTTTTCTAGATAGATCTGTATAATTTTCTTCATTTTTATAATTCTTTTCGATATATAGAACTTTTCATCTTCGTTTAAAACGAATCGATCGATTATAAATTTAATACGTAATTTTAATTTTTGAATAATTTTGAAGCTTCTCTAAAGTAAAATTACTATTTTCTGCGAATACATCCCGCGCGTTATCATGATTCGTCTTTTTCAAACTAATTATTGACTCGAATAATTATTTTACAATTCGATCGAGTCGAGAAAAATTTTTATATTTTTATCCTACGATTTAATCAAATTAAATCGAAGTGAATCGAAGCTTCTCCATAAACCACGCTTTCTCCAAATATTATTATTCCACGTCTTAATCCATCTTTCTTTCTTAGACTTAACTCGAATTTTTACAATTTCAAAACGAATCGATTAAAAGCTTCTCCGTAAACCACGCTTTCTCCAAACAAATTTCCACACCCCATCTTAATTCTAAATTTTCCAAAATTAACTTTCGAAAAATCGTGCGACTTGAATTTAAAATCGAATATTCCGATCTGATATAATAATAATAATAACAATAACAATAATCGTAAATATCGTATATATCTCAAGTAACGAGAAGGGATTATTTAATCATACCGTCAACCCGTATATCCAACTGCTAAACTATAATTTACGAGGTGTAACGTATGCGATGGCAAAAGTCGCGTACACGCGTCAATTAGCATAACTCGGTAACCGAGTCAATTTTAGCAAACCGCCGTTTCCAATTTCATTTTCAGACGAGAAATTTGTTCCGGTCGACAAATTCTTCTTCATCGAACTCGAACGACCATTCGTGTATAAACTCGAACTTTACACGATATTCAAGTTGTCTCAACTAACTTTATATATATATATATAAGGTCAACGAAATCGTCGAATTTTTGACTTTAATATAGGATCGAAGTAAGAATTTCCTTTACGATTTTTATATACAAATGCAAAGATGGATTTGTGAAATTTAAAAAATAAGATGGATGGAATTATACGGTTCAAGAATTTGAATACCGAGTATTGTTCCCTTTGACCAAGCGTATAATTTAAAAAAAAAAAGAAAATCGATCGCCTTCTTTGGTAAGTTTAATTATTTCCGAGCTGAAAGAGCCATTAGAATTCTCATTTAAATTTCTTACATAGCGACAAGTCGATATGGAAAATTAAAACTTTAAATTAACCGCCGTATCCTCGAAAATAATTGTTTCGTTTCCTTATATATATATAAACTTATCGCGTGAAAAACTACTTTCTTCTTCTTGTTTTTCTTTGAAAAAAGTAACGATATATTTTCTAAATTTTAATCCATCGTTTTCCATCACTACTCGCACACCTGTTTTTTACTTTGGCATTTACAAACTTTTCAATTTTACGCGATCCAATTCTATTATTTCCAGTCCTTCGAGTCTTTTTGCGATTAACGTCGATTTTAACGTCGTTACTCGTTGGAAAGATACCAATACGCGTGTAATAAATCAGAAATAAGTGAGAAAATGATCATCAGGCAGGTTTGACGAAGGTTTGTTACAGCGAGGGTATAAAATTTAATAAATAGCGTATGTGTTATTGTCGAAATTGGTCAATATTCGATCTAGTTAGTCAAAAAGTATCGGAACATTGATTACACAAACTAGTTGGAAACAATTTGGAATTAGACTATACGTTAATAACATTGGAACAAATTTCTTTATATGTAAGAATTTTAAATAATAATCTTAAACCTAACCTGAAATTATTAAATCGAAAGAAATTTTCTTCAATATAAAGTATCTAATTCCAAATTGTTTTCAATTATATCAACGAATTTCGAATTTTGGCATAATATACGATATCAAATACCATCTCTGTACATTTATAAGATTTATAATAACCTTTCGTACTACTACAATTATTCTTCTCAGTTCTTTAGAATTCTAAAGAAAGAAAAGTGCAAAGTATCAAATCGATCAAAGTCTGAAAATTCGAATTCAAAATATCGAATTTTATAACAATGTAAATATTTATAAAATTAACCTTTCACAATTATTTTTCTCAGTTTCAGACTTTATAGGCTTGTGATCGATCAAAGTCTGTGAATTCGAATTCAAAGTTTCGAATTTTATAATAATACGAATATTTGTAAAATAAAATTAACCCTTTATAATTTTCCTCAGTTTCATAGGCTTGCGATCGGCCGAATATCAAAATATCGAATTTTATGACAATACAAATATTTATAAAATTAACCCTTTATAATTATTTTCCATCTCATATATATTTATTTTCTTTCTTTTCATAGGCTTGTAATCGAACGTGTGTGAATTCGAATTCAAAATATCGAATGTAGTTATCGAACTACATTCGTCAAAAGTTAACCCTTTGCGCCGCTTTGCCCGATCTAAAGATTTCGAGAGAAATCTCGTACGGTGCAAAGGATTGAAAAAAGGAAGAAGAAGAAAAAAAAGAAAAGAAAGCATCGATCAAGAATTGAGATCTACGATTAAAAAAAAGGGTGTGTGCACGCGATGGCACGTTCTCTGACCTGCTGAAGATATCCTTGAGCTCGTGCTCGGACACGAATTGGCCGAGGTTGGCCACGAAGAGGGTGGAACAGGGCGCGTTGCTCACTGCTATGTTCGGTTGGGACGAGGGTGAACCAACCGGCGATGCCAGTGCCGGCGAGGGTAGGAAATGGGGTAGCGACGCGTGTATCGACGTCAGCGTCGTGGGATGCGGTAGAGACATGGGCGCCTGCAAAAGAGAAACAGAAACAACAATTTTTCATCATTATCCCCTACCTTCGTATCGATTCCTCGCCAATTTTCGTTCTGTCTTCTGTCTACTTGGAGCTTATGACAACTTTTTTGTTTGCTTGTTTCAGTTTTTTTTTTTTTTCGAAAGGTGTTCAATATTTATTCGCGAGGAATTTTCTGTTGCAACGTTGATGATCATTGAATCTTTATCTTTTTCAAGAAGGAAAAGGTTTTCCTATATCTGGTGTTCTCGTCACATTTTTGAATTTTGTATTTTCTTCAATCATTGTCGAATAAATTATAAATATTTTTCGTTGGTTATTTATGGATGACAAATATGGATATAAAAGATCATAATCTATTTTATTTTAGATTCCTAGTATTCGATTTCAAGGAAATTTATAATCGAGAAATCGAGCAGTTATGAAAAGAAGTGGCAGGCATTCCTTTCCAAAGATCAAAGGAAAAACAAGATGCGCGTAAATTTAAAAATTTTCCCAACTTCGACAATATTTGCCGAATTAACATCGTCCAAATACCGATATAACGTATAATTTAGATGTAATCGACGAGCATAGGCCGGCTGGCGTGCAACTAGGAACTAGGAGTCCATGACCGAGTTACGGAGCGTGGATTAATTAACGCAAGAACCGTGTTAAATACGAACACGCGGGGATAATTTGCAGCAACGTTACAAGAAGCAACGTTCTTCTATTTATTATTTAACGATGGAACAACGCGAGGAATGATCTCGGCCGTGAAGCGGAGATTTTATTCATAAATGATAGCCGCGATTTTTCCGATCCTTTTTCCCACTCCCTCTTATCACTCTTTCCACGACAACAACGCATAACACGACAATTGCGAATCTACAATTTTTCCTTTAATCTCTTTAATTTTGTTTCATAATCTTAAACAATATCAATATGATAATAAGCAATGAATTAATACAGAAAATAAGAAAAAATTTCTACTACTCGAAGCAACGCAACAAGCCCACATCGTGTAACCACACCGATTAATTCGCAATTCCGATATATCGGTGTTACAGTGTAATGCCCGTGTAATTACGTATTGCGCTACTTGTCTCGGATATCCTGTGTTGCCGCGCTCTCTTTTGTCGTCGTCGCGATTTGCAAAATCACCACACCTCTCCTTCCTTTCCTCACGTTTGTCTCGACGTTTTTCTTTTTTTTTTCTTTTTTTTTTCTTGCATCGTGTGTTTACCTTCGCGTTTACATTTTCAACGATTTCGAAGCGATGTTTTTTCCATTCGTAAAAAATATTATTACGAATTGTTGCAGCTGTTATTCGACAGAGAGAATTTGTTACGTGTAGAAATATGTTTGTTCTTCGTCGAGAATATGATTTTTTTTTTTTTTTTTTTTTCTTTAAAAAGAAAGAAACGTTTTCAATTGTTGTTGTTGGAAAGTGGAACGTCGAGAACGAAAGTGTTTCTTTGAGTGAGGGGGAAAAAAAAAAAAAAGAAAAAGATAGGAAGAAAAGAAAATTTTCGAGAAAAAAATTTTGTATAATATATATATATATATATTCGATAAATCTTTGAAAAGGTATCGAGTATTTTCAAATATTTTCGAGAGAAGAAATTTTCCGATAAAAATATCTATTTTTATTTTTTCCAATATATCGCGATCAGAATCAGAATTGAAAAGTACTCGAAAAAGAAGAAATCTCGATGGATATCATTGATGACCAATTGATTTTACTGAGAAAAATGGATTAATAATTTCGTCAATTAAATATAAAATTTTTAATGATGGAAAACATATATATATATAATTAATAAAATGACAATAGGAACAACTGTTCAAATAATTTTAATATTATTTTATGATTTTTTTTAATAAAAATAAATTAGAAAATTTATTTAAAAATAAATCAAAAATAATATAAACTGTTAATGTTGAAATTATAATAATAATTATTATAACTATTCGAAAACGAAAATATCTTCACGTAATATCCTTCGCATTATTCTTTCGACTCGAAGGATTCCAACTATTTCTCTCTCTCTCTCT